GTGACGAGGAAAATATCTGCTATATTGAGGAGGAAAGCACTGTGACTCACATCCAACTCAAGCGGTAGCGGGAAAACATCTGCTACATTGAGGAGGAAAGCGTTGTGACTCACATCCAACTCAAATGGTAGCGAAAAAATATATCGATCACATTTGGAAGGAAAGCACCGGGATTCACATCCAACCTAAGAGGTGACGAGGAAAATATCTGCTATATTGAGGAGGAAAGCACTGTGACTCACATCCAACTCAAGCGGTAGCGGGAAAACATCTGCTACATTGAGGAGGAAAGCGTTGTGACTCACATCCAACTCAAATGGTAGCGAAAAAATATATCGATCACATTTGGAAGGAAAGCACCGGGATTCACATCCAACCTAAGAGGTGACGAGGAAAATATCTGCTAGGAAAATATCTGCTATGGAAAATATCTGCTATATTGAGGAGGAAAGCACTGTGACTCACATCCAACTCAAGCGGTAGTGGGAAAGCATATTGATCACATTAGGAAGGAAAGCACTGGGACTCACACCCAACCTAAGAAGTGACGAGGAAAATATCTGCTATATTGAGGAGGAAAGCGCTGTGACTCACATCCAACTCAAGTGGTAGCAGGAAAGTATATCGATCACATTAGGAAAGAAAGCACTGGGACTCACATCCAACCTAAGAGGTGACGAGGAAAATATATGCTACATTGAGGAGGAAAGTGCTAGGACTCACATCCAACTCAAGTTGTAGCGGGAAAATACATCTGCTACATTGAGGAGGAAAGCGCTGTGACTCACATCCAACTCAAGAGGTAGAGAAAAATATCTACTACATTGAGGAGGAAAGCGTTGTGACTCACATCCAACTCAAGTGGTAGCAAAAAATATATCAATCACGTTAGGAAGGAAAGCGCTGTTACTCACATCCAACCTACGAAGTGACGAGGAAAATATCTGCTACATTAAGGAGGAAAGCACTGTGACTCACATCCAACTCAAGCGGTAGCAGGAAAACATATCGATCACGTTAGGAAGGAAAGTGTTGGGACTCACATCCAATCTAAAATGTGACGAGAGTGTAGAGGGTTGCAACCATTAAGGACATTATGACAGGAAGAAAGGGAGACTATACCAGTTTGAGCTACCGTTAGGGACATTACATCCGAACTGGATCTAGCCAAAAGGCGACCTCAACAGAATTATTTTCTTTTCTTGTTGTTTCTATCACATTTAATTTTGCAAAATATGCCTTTAAAAGTTTAATTTAGTTGGCTGATTTTCAAAAGAAATTTGTTTTGTTGTTTGTTATTATTTTTATTTGAGTTTTATTTTTGTTAAAGATTTGTTGTTTCGTTCTTCGTTCATTGAAATTCTGAACCAACACATGGTTCGTGGCTTCCATCCATCGCACAAAAAGGCACATTTCTGAGAGAAATTTTCATTAATCTGCTCCAATCAAGATGTCACAGATCAAACATAGGCTAATGCCTGAAAAAGGTACAATATATAGTCCATATCAAAGTGCATCCAAAACATCTCATGTCATGTATACATCGTAGGCTTAGTATGTTTGATACATATCATGTTGCTGTAAAATAAAGTGAACCCTCTGAACATCTGTTTCAGGTATTACAAGCTCCTGATCGAGCATACCTTCTAAGTCATGCTCCAGGATAAGAGTTCCATTCGCATGTACTTAGAAGTACAACCCTTTCATAGCTTGTACGGTAGCAGCTCTTCTAGTTCTAGGTCTGGCTGAAATCCGTATGGTGCTTTGTTGTCATCCATCCTAAGGAAGATTACGAACACCCTATGGTGTCTCACCCCTGGAATGCAGTGCTTGGTGACATCTGCCCCGTTTCCTTTCAGGACCAAAATTGAACCAACTGGCAGCAGAATCTCTACAGCTTCTCTGAACTCGCCAGGGCCGACACTCATGAATGAGACCGTGCAGAAGGGCCTCACAAAATCATGGTGGTCTATATGGGGAGGGATGCAAACACCCTCGTCATAGATATTGATGATGCAACTATTCGAAATGCAGGTAGCTGGCAGTATGTTCCATCTGGCCATCCTCTTGATCATCCACTTTATTATATGAGGTAGTGGATCTACCTGGTCATGTCTGAGGATACCCAGCGGATTTCCTTGTCTGCCATTTGTAAAATTATAATAACAGCCACACTAAATGGTGATTCTTCCTTTTCCTCTCATCCATTTCTTCGGCTCAGAGTATGTTCTTTCCATGAAAAGGCCTGCTCGACCTGTATCTCTCAAGTCAAAGATGCAGTCAAGAATGCTTCTTTTGTCACTTTCGGAGAAGACCATGGTATACAGCTCCAGGCCTTCCATTATGTTCCTTGGACTTCCTCATAGAGTTCAAATTCTCTTTTATTCACCTTCAAATTCTCTTTTATTCACCTTTATTCACCTTACTTATTTTATAGTACTCCATCGTGCTAGGAGTCAGCAACAGTCGTGGGAATTCCTCCATCTAGACATTGGCAGGAACCCAAACTGGTGTTGGCTCATCTGGAACATGTGATTCAGCATCTAAAGGGATGTAAGACCTTGGAATCCATGATATATACTCGTCTGTCCCCAGTGGGACGTATGGCTCATCCATCAGAAAATCTGCGGTCTGAGACCCGTTGGTGGTGGAGGTATACTCCACCAATGTACTGTAGCATTGTAGATGTAGGACATTGCAGTCCGGGCATTCTAGAAATGCCCCTTTGGCTGATGTCCCTGCAGGTATCTCGGTGTTGCACATCGGGCAACCCGTGCATAAGGCATCAGAACTGAAGGTGTCTCTGGCTCTGTGATGAACCCCGGTTCTTCATCTGTGGCGGGTAGTCTAGAAGAAGTCTCTTTCTTGTTTGGATCATAGATATTCCCCTCAGGAATAGGGGTGAGTAATTTGTTTGCTTCCTTCTGAAGTTTGTGTTCTTCCCGTAGAAAAGCCCTCTATTTTCTGCGGCTAGCATTTTTGCGCTGAGTCCTGCGAAGCAAAGCGTTTGGCCATTGTGGGCGGCTACTAGGCCTCCGGCTGGTGTAGCTATCATGGATGGCAGACGGCTGGGCCCCTCCATCGGGTCCTGCTCTATCATCACATTCTTTCCTTTATGTGATGTATTGTCTTTGGCGGCCACCCTCGGCAGTGAAGGCAATACCTCCTTTTCTCGGCAGCTGACTACAATCATCAGAGGACCTTCATAGTTCATATCAACTTGGTTAAAGTCCAAGTTGAAGTCTATGGTGCCACTCTGCTGCGCCATTTCCTCATTCAGTGCTTTCATAGTTCATATCAACTTGAAAGCAAAGATCAACCTCTGTCCCGACTTTTTTCTGCAGACGACAGGAAAAATGTAAGTGGACCGAAACTTGGCATGAACGAGAACAAAACAAAGTATTTATTAAAGTAAATTTTAGTTTATTTTGGTGGATAACTCTTTATTTTATGTATGAATTTTGTTTAATTTAGTGGACTATTAAGTTCAAAAGTAGAAAGGAGAAAATTTGAAGTTTATAATTTTTCTCAAAATTTTCATTATATTGAGGCATTATATAAATTTTCATTATATTGAGGTTAATTACAAAGTTTGGACCCAGTCATAGACATTTGACCACATAGATAACCCCAAAATAATCAAATTTTTAAAATTTCGAAGCAAGCAAAGGGAAGCGACATTAGGTTGCTTAATAGGTTTTTAGGTATCGTCCATTTATTTGTAACACGGGTCTTTCGCCCAGGAAATCCACTAACTGGTAGGCTCCTCCTGTGTAGACCTTTTCAACAACAAATGGTCCCTCCCAAGTTGGCTCAAAGTTGGCTCATGCTCATATTTTCCACCTATTTTGCGGCGTGCAAGAATAGGCCTTTTGAGCACAAGTACGAGGTCACCAACTTTGAATGTCCTTAGGCGGATAAATTTGTCATGGGCTTGTACCATCTTTCCTTGGTAAAGCTCCAAGTGTTGTTGTGCTTCTAGTCATTTTCCCTCAAGACTTTCCGGTTCTTCAAGTCTAAGTCTTACACTTTCTCCTATTGTGAGTTGGTTGGCAACAACAACTCTAACAACAACTCTAAGAGACAACTCTAAGAGACGGTGTCTGGATTTCTAACGGTAGCACGGCCTCGGACCCGTGCACGAGCATATAGGGTGTACACTTAGTGGGAGTCCCGAAAGTCATCTGGTAGGCCCACAAGGCTTCTAATAGTTTGTTGTGCCAATCCCTTTTATTTTCATCCACTGCATTCTTCAAAATCTGTATCAGTGTCTTGTTGAAGGCTTCAGCCAGACCATTTTCTCTGGGATAGTAAATCGTAGAGTATCTTGAATCTATTTTGTGTCTTTTGACAATATTATTGATTTTGGTGCTTTTGAAAGCCATCTCATTATCGGAAATTATTCCTCGCGGTACTCAAAAATCGTAGAAAATTTGGCTTTTGAAGAATTGAAGGACGTGCTGTGTTGTAACCTCACGCAACGGTACTGCCTCTGCCCATTTGGAGAAGTAATCTGTAGCGGCAAGTAGAAGATAGAGGGTCTATCGGACCTAATATGTTCGTGCCCCAACACTTAAATGGCCACGAGGCTACAGTTGGGTGTAGCACATTCAGAGGCTGGTGTAAGACCACCCCATGCACTTGGCATTAGTGACATTTTCTGGCTGTATGCATGCAATCGGACATCATTGTTAGCCAATAATATCCGAGTCTTTTGATCTTCATTTTCATTTTTGGCCCTGACTGATGAGCACCACACAGTCCGACATGTACTTCTTTGATAATATTTTGTGCTCTGACTTTATTCAAACACCGTAGCCACATCTGGTCGAATGATCTTCTTCAAATGATCTTCTGTAGAGAATCTGTAGAGAATGTTTCCCACCAGGGTGTAAGACATGGCCCTTCTTGTGATATGATGTGCTTCAGACTTGTCTTCTGATAGCTTTCCAATATGCAAATATTCTATTAATGGCTTGCAACAATCTTCGTTGAAGTTTGTAACTATATTTATTGCTTCTTCTTTTTCAAGCTTGTGTAAAGTTTTGAGGTCGATTCGAGACAAGACATATCTTCATTGTATTGTGATTTCAATGGAATCCTCCGGGGGACATGCCATTTTTTTAGCGAGTTTTGCCAGAGCGTTGGCATGAGCATTATTCTATTTTATTGTGTACTGTTGGTATTCTGCTAATCTTGGTTTAAAAATTTTTTATTGTCTGACGACTTGCTGGATGACGAGTTGAGAGTCGCCATAAATGACAATGTTTGTTATATCCATTGAGATTTTCACTTCCAACCCGATGATTAAGCTTCATATTTCGCTTCATTATTGGTGCACGGCTCTGTCAGGTGGTATGAGAACCTCAACATACCCTTATCTGGCGTGATAAAGATCAAACCGATCTCTGCTTTCCTTGGTATAATTGTGTCTGATCCTTTGTCTTTCCTGGCTGACGAAGCACCTTCGAAGTATATTTCTCAGTGTTGTGCACCAGAGAATTCCATTTGTAGTATTTGCTCATCCGGTAACTCGTCATTCAGAGAGGACCCAGCTAGCAATGGGTGTGCAACAAAAGTATGCTAGTATCTGTCTCTTGATAGCACGGAGGGGAACAAAAGTTATATCAAATTGCAATAAGATCATTGACCATCTTGCTAAACGTCCGAAGAGTGTTGGTCGGGTCATCAGATATTGCAATGGATTAACTTTTGAGATTAGGTTAATCTTATGAGAAAGCATGTAATGTCTAAGCTTTTGAGTGACAAAAATTAACGACAAAAAATGCTTCTCAATAGGTGGATACCTTTTCTCCGTCGATATTAGGCGATGACTCAAGTAGTAGAGTGCATTTTCTTTACCCTCATCATTGACTTAGGCTAACAGGGCTCCGAGAGAATCATCTGAGGCCGCGGTATAAAGTATCAACAGCTTTCCTGGGACAGGGGCAGCTAAAACAGGAGGTGTCATTAGATATTGTTTAACATCCTCAAAAGCTTGCTGGCATTTCTCTTCCCAAATGAATTTGGCATCCTTTTTAATTAATGTCGAGAAAGGCTGACACCTACCTGAGAGATTAGAAATAAAGCATCTCAGATATGCCAGGTTTTATGAGGAGGCATTTCCAAGATAACTTTAATTTTATCCGGGTCGATCTCGATTCCCCGATGACGGAAAACGAATCCCAGAAATTTCTTGAAAGTAATGCCGAAGGCGCACTTTAAGGGATTCATTTTAAGGTCATATCTTCGTAACCGTTCAAACACAATTCTCAAATTGTACAAATGGTCTATTTTATGTTTACTTTTGATGACCAAATCATCCACGTAGCATTCTACTTGGTTATGGATGAGGTCGTCAAAAATCTTCATCATTGTGCGCTGATATATTGCTCCGGCGTCCTTTAGGCCGAACAGCATCACTGTGTGCAGAAAATTCCAATTGGTGTTCTGAAGCTTGTAAGTGCTGCATCCTCGAGAGCCATCTTGATTTGTTTGTATCCTGACGATCAGTCCATGAAGGAGAAATATTCGTGTGTTGAAGCGATATCTACCATCATTTCTGGAATTGGTAGTGGAAACTCGTCTTTTGGACATGCTTTATTCAAATCCCTGAAGTCTACACAAACATGGATCTATTCATTTTTCTTCTTAACAGGTATAATATTAGCTAACCACGTGAGTTATGTTCTTCTTTTACAAAGTTGGCGTCTATTAATTTCTTCACCTCGATGATGACTTGTTGTTCTATTTCAAGGCGCATTCTCCTGGGAGCTTTTTTTATTAGGGTTATATTCTTGTCCACCCCGAGTTTATGAACTACAACCTCTGCTGACAGTACTGGCATTTCATCGTAGCTCCATGTGAACCAATCTTTGAATTCTGTTAATATTTTCAACAATTCCGAAGATTCTTCGATATTGAGTAGAGAACTTATAAATGTAGGTCGGGGTTGTTCTTCAGTCTCGAGGTTAATCTCTTTCAATTCATCAATGATAGATTTAATTTTCTCCTTAAATTTTGGCGGAGCATCTTCTATTAGTTGATCAATAGAGTCATCCTC